TATCTCTCGTCCGACGCCTGCGCTGAGAATGTCGCATATGTGAGTATCATGCGTCTTGTTCGTCAGAAGCATTAGGACGATCCAACTGTAGATACTCGGCGAATGGGGCACACATGTCCTGGATCGTCCTGAAAAAGTCATTGGGAATCTGTCGATATCCTCGAATAGTCGGCGGTGGCAAGTTATCGTAGAAGTAGGGATGCAACACCCGGGTGATGTCGTACACAAACGGAACTGCAGATGGCTCCACTCTCTCAACCGGCTCGGTACTAGGATGTATACGGACGTGGGTGTGGTCGAGATACCACGGCAAATACTCCGGTGTCGACTCCCAAGCCGGACGCACCCAATGACCATAATAATCTTCACTAAGCATGTGCGTGTGAGGGATATTCCACATCTGATCGCCAGGCTCGTAGCTAATTTTGTAAGATGCTAATTTCTCTCCCTCCTAGCACCTTTTAGCGGACGAATAGGGTCCGACGGTTTAATCTGCCGAAAGCCGAACTGACGCAAAACTCTATCGGGCATGTAAGGCTCGATCGTATCCATCCATCGTATAGTCCCGTGATGAACCGTCTTTTCAACTTCACGTGACACATTCACTCCAAATGGCGTCCAATTCACCTGTGCGTATGTATTAATAATAAAAATGTATTAATAAACATAGTAAATATATAAATCTTAATTTATTTAAACTTGATACTTACATCTGACGCACGCATAGAATCAAGATGTCGACCACAATCAACAAGTATATCCTCGTCTTTAGGGATATGATGTATCACTTGCCACCTCTTAGACCAGGGCTCTCCATTCACATGTGCGTTAACCATCGGAGGCCGGAAACACGGAAAATACTCATATATCCAACACTACAAAAATAATGATACGGCATATTAATCATAACATTTTGGTGATATTAATAAAAGAAACAATTGAGGGGTTACTACAAATAAAAAGTTACCTCTAACAGTGTCAGACAACCACCCATCTGCGCCGCCTCAGCTCGCGTAGCCATGCCCAATTGTCGATACAAATAGGCTAATGTAGCCGAACCCCAGGAATAGTCGGAAATCATATCGATCTGCTCTAAAAGTGGGAAAAAATCTGCTTTCACCTTCGATCCACTCTTATCGACAAACAATAGCTTTCCAAGCAAGTACGCAATATATGTTCGTACCCGAAACTCGGAAGCAAATGAAGAATCGTCGCCATACATCCTATCCAAATCATCTAACCGGTATCCGCCGCCATACCACTTCTCCATATCTCGGGGCTCGACACCGAACGCTCTCGCACCTGCATAAATCGCATCTGCCTTATCAATCCAAACGTTAGGGCGCTTTCCACTAACTCGCAAATGCATGATATAGTGCACATCGTGGAGAGTAATTGTCATCTCTCCAAACGGCATATGAAAGTTGTTGGTGTCTGGCTGCCACCTCTCGATAAAAGCCTCTATCAACGGGTTATTGTGCTGAGGGAGCGAACAATAACGCAAGTGATACAACCCGGTACTCTCCAGTAGTGAAACACTATAATAGTCGTCGGGGCCCGGCCAAGTAGACTTCGCATGAGACCGCAACTTCAGCATATGCCGGCCCTATTGAAGATATATTGATATTTAAGAATAGGAAAATCAACTATAAACATTTTAAACAAAATTTATTAAAATTAATATGTATTACCTTTCCCTCCCAGATGTCGTAGGCAATATGGGCTCCAAAACTCGGAATCAAATGAGGGTATTTTGGTCCACCGGGTGTCTCACCAATCAACTTCCACGATCGAGTAGGAAGAGTTTTTTCCGGACCGGGCCGGGACCTCGGGTTTGGGGCAGGAGTAGAACCACCGGAAGTACCATCCATTGTATAAACCGGAGGCGGAGGCGGAGTCAAACCGTCCTCGTCATCATCATCGGATGGAAAATCAGGCACCGGGAACTGATACTTCTGCTGAAAACGTAGTCCTAGATCGTACTCGTCCTCGTGGGGATCCATATATGTATCCATCTCCTGCTCGGGCTCTGCCTCTGTCTCCTCCTCCTCCTCAATTGTCATACGTGGTTGTACAAAAGCACCAGTCCGTTCCCCACGACGTTTAGAACTGGTAACATTACGGTTGTGCGTTCTGCCCTCCCGTTCCGCAGTACTCTCCTCCACCAGATTTGCACGAGGACGAATCAGGGGGACCCTTTCCTTTTCCCATTCCCAATTTTTCATCCAGTTAGACATCCTACAAACATAAACATATTTTAAATTAATTAAATTAATATAATTGAATTAACA